GGGAGAACCTCTGGCACTAAAGCCTGGATGATTAAGCAAAAGTCTCAGGACTGCCTCTCATTGCTTCAGATTAAAGTATATGCTCATGTATTACCCCATCACGTTTGCTTGGCAGTAGTATGTGGAGGTTGGCCAAGTCTAGGTCACGTGACTACTCATGTGAAGGCCAATCCTTAACTTCTCTGGAACCCTCTGATCTGACTTTTTTTTTAAATTAGCTTCACCTATTTTCTTTTTTCTTAACTTTTTATTCCCATAGGTTATGGGGGAACAGATGGTGTTCAGTTACATGAATAAGTTCTTTAGTGGTGATTTGTGAGATTTTGGTGCACCCATCACTCAAGCAGTACACACGGTACCCAATTTGTAGTCTTTTTGTTTTTGTTTTTGTTTTGAGACATAGTCTCGCTCTGCCACCCAGGCTGGAGTGCAGTGAGACGATCTTGGCTCACTGCAACCTTTGCCTCCCAGGTTCAAGCAATTTCCTGCCTCAGCCTCCTGAGTAGCTGAGATTACAGGTGCATGCCATCATGCCTGGCTAATTTTTTTTTTCTTTTTTTTTTTTTTTTTTTTTTAGTAGAGGCAGGGTTTCACCATCTTGGCCAGGCTGATCTTGAACTTCTGACCTAATGATCCACTCACCTCTGCCTCCCAAAGTGCTGAGATTACAGGCCTAAGCCACTGTACCTGGCCCCAATTTGTAGACTTTTATCTGTCACTCCCCTTCCCCCTTTCCCCTGAGTCCACAAAGTCCACTGTATTATTCTTACACCTTTGTATTATCATAGCTTAGCTCCCACTTATGAGTGAGAATGTACAGTGTTTGGTTTTCCATTCCTGAGTTAGTCTCCAGTCCTATCCAGGTTGCTACAAATGCCGTTGACCCATTCCTTTTTATGGCTGAGTAGTATTTCATCTCATTCATATATATGATATATGAGTGGAGATATATGTGTATATATATCTCCACTCATTGATTGATGGGCATTTGGGTTTTGGAGAAACCATCTCATCTGAGAATCTGAGAATGGAGGACGTGTCTCAGTCAGGAGAGGCGTAGGTAGACAATAGATGCTAAGCAAGGATTGTTATAATTGTTCTATGCCTAGTCTTTGTGCCAATGACAACCCTATGAAAGTACTTACTCCAGTAGGATTTCTTATAGCACAACGCCCTGGTGTTCATGAGACTGAAAGTTCTGGAGTATTTAGAAGGAAAGTTCTAAACAGTTCTTACAGTATAACTCTGGCATTCATGGGACTGAAAGTTCTGGTGTATTTAGAAGGAAAGTTGTAGATAGTTCTTACAGCACAACTCTTTGGTATTCACAGGACTAACAGTTCTGAAATATTTAGGACCATTCAATACCCCTACCTCCTGTCTTAAATTTCTCTTTGTCCCTTGAAACTCCTTTACTGTCAATCTGCAGCAGCTTCATGACCTGTGAAGACACAATGCACTTTGACTCCGTTTCTCCTAGGGACTCTTCTTATTCTCAATGATCAGGTACATAATGACTGTATATCTGTGAATATGTACATGCATGAGTGTGTAAACACCTAGGTGAGTTTCCATCTCTAGAAATCACTGTTATTCATCCTGGATAGAGAATGTACAGCTTTGTTTAATTAAATGGTAAAGCTAGTTGAGAATTGGCAAATGGAGTCAGATTGAAAAATATTTTACAGCTCTCTATTCTTCATTTTATATTTCTGGTGATAAACAGAGAAACAAACAAAAAACACTCTTGGTGATTATAAGTGATGAACTTAAGTCTGTGTGATCCCTTTATAATTGAGTAGATCATTAATTCACCACTACTTGTTGCCTTTTGGCTTAAACGTTTGTGTTTTCTATGTGCTTAGGTATTTTTTTATCTGTCTGTTTCAAAGTCCTGGCATAATAATAATAATTTTGTTTCTCGTGTAATGATTTAATTCAACAAACATTTATGGAAAAACTTCCATGTGTGAGCTCTATGCTAGGTGCTTGAGATATGAATTCATGACACATAATCCTGGCTACCAAGAAGCATCAAATTATTAAGGAGAATTAGAGAGTGACATGAGCAGATGCCTTAAAAGGTGTCTGATGAATAGTGTTAAACAAATACACAAACAAACAACATACAGTATTAATTGATTAATGAACCCAGTGTTTATCCTGCACCTGACACTATTCTTGGCAGTGGGCATGCAACTAGGAGGAGATGGACAAGTCCCTCATTCCATGAAGCTTGCATTTCCACGTAAGACACACAGGCAAAAACAAAACAAAACAAAATAACACCAAATGAATAAATGCATAATTGCAGCCTGTGGTAAGTGCTGTGATGTCAAAAAAGACTTCTGTGAGGAAGTCATATGTAAGCCTATTTTGAAAGCGGGGAGGACCAACTATGCAAAGAGCCAAAATGGAAGAACATTCTAGCCAGGGAGAGCTGGTGGGAAGTGAACCCGTGGGAGATTAGCACACAGTGAGCTGGAGAGCAAGGTGGGAGTCTTTCTTCAGGGATGTAAGTGCCTTCTGGGGGCAGACAGACAGTAGATATTCTCATCCAATGGAGCATATTCTGGGGGGATTATTGGCTCAAACTGGAAGGGAGCCACTCCAGGGTGAAAACTGGACCTCACCTTAGAATTCCTCGATTCTCGTACAACACTGCTCTCCTTATTCAGGAGGCTTTTGTTGTTGTTGTTGTTGTTGTTTTGTTTGTTTAAAATTTTTTATTGTACTCGAGGTTCTGGGATACATGTGCAGACCATGCAGGATTGTTGCATAGGTATGTACAAGGCAATGTGGTTTGCTGCCTCCATCCCCCCGTCACCTATATCTGGCATTTCTCCCCGTGTTATCCCTCCTCAACCTCCCTACCCCCTGCTGTCCCTCCCCTAGTCCCCCCCCCGACAGACCCCAGTATGTGATGCTCCCCTCCCTGTGTCCATGTGTTCTCATTGTTCAACAGCAGGCTTTGTTTTATTTTCTTAAACACAGCTTTATCGAGGAATGATTAGCAAATAATAAACTGCATATTTGTAAAGTGTACATTTCGATAACTTCACTTCTGTGCATACCCGGGCAACCCTGACTGTGATCAAGGTAGCAAACATCTCTGTCACCCGACAAGCTTCTTCCTACCTCACTGACATCCTTCTTTCCAGCTCTTCCCCTTGCACCCTCCCCAAGACAACCACCAATCCACTTTCTATTTCTATACACTAGTTTGCCTTTTCTAGAGTTCTATATAAATGGAATCATAGGGTAGGTGGAGTTACTTTTTATAGCCATTAAGCCTACACAGAATAAACGTATTCTAATCTTTTTTCCATATGTCTTTTTGTGTCTGAAAATGATCTAAAACATCTTTAACCATAACCTCCTTGTTTTCTATATCCGTGGTCTAAAACCTGTGTTTGCTTGACGCTGAAGGATTTTCTGACTTGAAAAAGTAGAGTTTACCTTTCCTTTTCCTCTCTCCTTTATTATTTTGGAAAATGCAGTTGACCTAGGAAAGAAAAAGGGAGACAGTGAGTTACGGTTGGAGGGGAGGCAGTAGAGAGATGAAAAGATGAATCAAGCAAAGATCCCACTTTATTATTCTGATCCCAGAAGTTAGATATATGGATGACCAATTTTCAGCTAATTAGCATAAAACAAAATACATTTCAGGAAAATTGTGCTCGACACAGTTTAATGTCTGATGGTTCATAACAGCCTCAGGGTCATCATGAGCATCAACTCTGGAATCAGAAGTTCTGGGGAGAAGGATTAATGGGGAACTGGTGTTCCGGGAGCTCAACATAGATGCTCACAATACCCCCATGAACAATCAAGAGCTTTTTCCTATTTTATTTCAGTATATTTTGTCCTATGTTTGCTTCTTGAAGAATTTGAAAACATACTCACGTTGAAAAATAGTGCAATATATGACTTTCAGAGATTAACAAGATGAAGTCCAGGTCTAAAATGGATTCATCTATTCATTGATCTAGCAAACATTTATTAAACACTTACTGTCTCCAGGATATGTTTCTAGGTACTGAGTACATGGTGCACAGGATAATTCTATATGTACCTATAAGTGTTTGTGTTTGCATATAATTCAGTGGTTTTGTTAGACATATGATTAATTGGTTGTAAAATATGAAAGTCGACCCTGAGCATAGGAGTTTAAAGTAATGCAGCAATTTTGCAACATCCACCGCAGTTAAAAGTGTCCACACTCTTTGATCCTCCAATGGCACTAGTGGAAATTCATCTTGGAGATATACGCGCCCCTGTCTGGAAAGATGCATGTATTACAGGCTCATAGAAGGCTTGTTTGTTGTACCTAAATCCCTGTCAAGGATGGACTAGTAAACGAGTCATGATATAGTATTTATGGTTGAATACTATGCATCTATGAAAAGAAGGAGGTTGATTTGTCTGCGTTGACATTCAACAAAGTCTCAGACATATGGTCAAGGAGGGAAAAAGCATGAAGTGTAACATTATGTACGTTAGGCTTCCATTTGTCAATGGGATGGAAAAGTGGGCAATATATGTGCAGCTTAGGGAAATAGAAGACAGTGCTAACTTTTCAAAAGTTATTGATGAGCAGGGGAGTGAGGATGGAAAAATCCACCTCTTTGAATTATTTTAAATACTTCCAAGGTGATTGTACTGGATTTTCACTTTTGGAAAACTAATCTTAAAATTAGACAAATAGATAAAATAAGTATAAAGGATACCAGTAGTTTTTCTAATGTTAACCTTGGGACCTCATGTATTATTTGATGCATACGTCTCTGAAGGTTGCTGTTCTGTCCCCCTTCTCCCTTGACCATGCCCTGAAACAGAGAGAAAAAACCCCAATCCTTGCCACAATACCTCTCATCAGATTTGACTGCTGCCATGAAATTAATGAGTTACCGACTGCCTCTCAGAACCTTAAGGCATTTTGGAGCCCAGAAGGAAAGTGAGGCCCCCAGGCTTTCCCCCAGACATGAAGAAACCCAAACCATGTATGGAAGGAAGGTGGTGCATCTTTGGGCCTTTGTGATCCAGATGAGTGACAGAGTAACTCACCTAAAAAGAGAAGGAGGTCTCTGCCGATGGAAGCTGCTAATGGGGATGATAGAGTTTTGCACAACCCAGCGATCACAAGCCCAGTTTTAGGGCAAAGGACTCTAAAAACAGAGACAGCCATATTGGCACAGATAGTCCTCCTTTATTTAATTACACCAGTAGATGCCAGGAGGGGAAGGGTCCTTTGGTGGAAAAGAAGAGGGGGTCATTGCACATCCAAAATATCGAGATGACCCCTTTGAGCCATTTCATTCATTCATTTGCTGAACAAACCTGAATTCACACCTTCTTTGACATAGCCCTGCCCTTACATGATGGGGTGGAGTGCTAGAACCAAGTCACTAGCCTTTCTTGAACTTTTAATTTCATGCAAGGAAAAGAGCCCCTTATCAGATAATCTCACAGACAAATATAACTTATAAACTATGATAGGAATTATTAAGGACACTGCAGAGTAAAACAAACAAGGCAGATTATCTCACAGAGCCGAGGAGTTCTCATTCAGCTGTTTATTTAGAAGCCTTTTAATACTGATCACTAAGAATCTCAGCTGAGTGTGATAGCTCACATGTGTAATCTCAGCACATTGGGAGGCTTTGGAAGGAGGATTGTTTGAGGCTAGGAGTGCAAGACCAGCCTGGGCAACATAGCGAGACTGCCCCCGAACCCCAGTCTCTACAAAAAAAAAAAAAAAAAAAAAAAAAGCCAGGTTTGGCATCACTTCTCATGTAGTCCCAGCTACTTAGGGAGGCTGAAGGGGAAGGATCCCCTGAGCCTAGGAGTTTGAGGCTGCAGTGAACTATGATCATGCCACTGTACTCCAGCTTGGGTAACAGAGTGAGATCCTGCCTCTTAAGAAAAAAAAAAATATCATTCCCACTTTACAGTTGAATACATTGAGGGATTGAAAGATGCGGTTGCTTGGCCAACACAGCAAATACGAGTGGAGACAAGACTGGAGCAAATGAACACAGGGGCCAGTCTGAAGGAGACTCTGAGCATAGTAGTTGCATAGTTGGTTGTTTTAACTATAAAATCTAAGAACTTCAAGTACACAATGGTTAATAGCTGGAAGGGATCTCTCAGCATGAAGATGAGTGTAGTCGCTCTGGTGACATTTGGAAAATTAACATGGCACGTAAAGAACCTAAACCATATTCACTGCCCGTAGTTAAATGAGGCAGGAGTCAACAAAATAGAGCCTGGTATTCATAGTCTAAAAAGATTTTTGACTTTTTTCTTAAAATTTTGTACGTAATATTAACAACTGATTATGCCACAGGAGAAAATTTAGTGCCCGAAGACTGAAATGTCTGTCTATAGTTATTGTAGTATATGACTGGTAAAGGGTATGTATTCCACACCCCCCACATGGGGCACCTGTGATATAGATTTAAGATTTTTAACTTTTGATAGTAAAATGACACCAGGGCATCCATGTTCTCCCTGAAATTGTGTCTCATACCGTATTTCTGGGAAGAAGTCTTCATTTCTTTGTTGTTATTCTGCTAGAAGGGCATGGGACACACAAAAAGGTTAAAAAAATACTGTTTTTGAAAAGCTAAATAACTGTGGTTCACTATCTCAAGACATTTGGCAAATCTCATTTTCCTACAGATGTTGTTGGACATAAATTGATGATTTCAAGAAGCAAGTAGAATATTCTGCAATGCTCAGTATTAAGGAGTTCATTGTGATCAGATGGGGCTTTGTCTAATTGAAGTATTTGAATTAACTTACACCGTAAAAGTGAAAGTGTAAAGCTTTGCTTTTCTTCCAAGCTAATCAATGAAGATTAATATTCTATGGGAACTTGATTTTGCAGATGGAGCCGAGCAGCACTGTTTTCCCTACCATTTTTTCCTCATAGTAAATAAATCATTTTTATTATACTGTATGAATTTACTTAGCTCTTTTAATAGCCTTTGTAAGAATAATGCTTCCTTTGATTATATTAAATTTTTAAATGTGTGCAGTCTGGAATAAAATTCTGCTGTTGGGGGAAGGGCAGTGAGAAAAGGCAGGGATACTGAATATATCAGCTTTATCAGCTTATTCTCTGTGTTTTAAACCAGATGGAGCAGTGTCTGAGTATCCTGGGAGTCTTAGGAGTAAAATACTAAGTATTTGCTTGGATTAAAATGGCTCATACCTGTGCCTTGTGTAAGACTTTCCTTCTGGGGAAGATGAGATTAGTCTGAAAGGGCCTGGTCTTTATAAAACTATTCTCATTGTTATTTTGTACCTTTTTCTTTATTCTTATCTTCAAGGTTCTGGCCAATCTATTTGATTTTTTCCTCCCAAAGGAGAGGAGTAAACTTTATAATTCCAGGGCTCACATCCACATGTATAAATTGATCAGCTGAATTGAAAAGCTGCTGACGGGCTGATTTAGCAGGTTCTGCAAGTGGTCTCATTCACAATTGATAAGCTGACTTCTCACCCTCAATTCTTGGAGGCTTAACCCCTTGAAGGACAGATACCATTTGGCCTATACAAATTGTGCTTTTCATGAGACAAGGAAAGGAGTCGGGGAGGTAAGTGTGTGTGAGAGAGAGATAAATTGATTTCATTAGAAACAAAAATATTCCATGATCTTATGCATTAGATCAAGTCTTGAAATATTAAAGTTCCTGGTAAGAAAATTCAGAATCACCAAAACCCTCTGTTTTTCCGTGTCAGTCATCTTGTACATAGTTAACAAACCAATTTATTTTTTTGAGACAAGGTCTGTCTCCCAAGCTGGAGTGCAGTGATATAATTTAGGCTCACTACAACTTCCACCACCTGGGTTCAAGAGATCCTCCAGCCTCAGACTCCTAAGTAGCTGGGACTACAGGTGCATGCTACCACACCTGGCCAATTTTTTTGTATTTTTTTTTTTTTTTTGTAGAGATGGGGTTTCGCCATGTTGGATAGGCTGGTTTCAAACTTCTGGCCTCAAGTGGTCAGCCTGCCTCAGCCTGCCAAAGAGCTGGAATTACAGGCACAATCCACGGAGCCTGGCCTAACCAACGATTCCTTTTAAAATACATTGTCCATCAAGTCAGAACCTTTAATAGCTCCTATTCAGAATCTATAACAGCTCTGCACTGTTTATGGATAATAAATAATGGCCAAAGTTGAAAATTTAAGGTTGTCTTAAATCTAGCCTCAGTATGTAAACTCTGTGTGTGTGTGTGTGTGTGTGGTGTGTATGTGTCCATCCGCAAATGGGTCAAAGTAAAAATCTCGTGGAACCTTGATTCACAAGACTCAGGTTTGAGCTTCATTTCTGCAATTTGTTACTTGTATGACAAAGGGCAACTTATCTGCTCTAGGCCTCTATTATTTATGTAACAAATACTAGTAATGATAGCAATAATGGGAATGATTGGGATATAATGCTACTTACCTGACTTAACTGATGTTTTCTGGAAAGAATCAGATCAGAGAGCATATCTGCAAGTGTTGGCACCCTCTGAAAAGCACTGCCAAGGTGATTGGTTGTTATTACATGAATTCAGGAGTGAGTCAGACCCATCTAACTGGAGTGAGAGAGAGCTTTGGGAGCTGGCCAGAATGGATAATTAATTTTTTCGATTGCTTCAGGCACACGTTGAACCATGGTCAGTTCAAATTTGAGCTCTCTACAGATATATACATTTTTAATTGGTCAACTAAATAAATACATAGATACATGAACACATGGAGTTTTCTGAAGAGACCTGGAGCCTTGCATGTTCTATGGAGTTGATTTGAATGGAGACACAAGAAGTCAACTCTCAGACATTTTGAGAAAGACTGGTGCTCTGTAGTTCTCTGTCTTTTTTGGGCTTTGAGGAGTTATCATACACTTTAATGAGAAACACTGTTTTGAAGTCTTTAAACAGTCGGATTCTAAGCAAAAGATAAGCGGTTTCCCTTCTTTCTCATCCACTTGACTTGTCCTCCTCCTGCTAGCAAAGTACTCCCACTTCCCTTTTGATCTAGGTATGTACTTGGTTGAATCCAATGCCATTGCTGACATTAAACCACTTAGATGTATTAAAAAAATGTTTTGCAATTACGCAGCTATGTCATCACATGATGAATGTGTGTGAGTGAATATTATGTTAGCATAGAGTGCCATGCTGTACAATGTCTTCTGGTCCAGTGTCCTTCCACCCAAGAAATACATTTTGGAGATCGTTGCATGTCAACGTGGAGATCTGCTTTGTTCTTTGCAAGGCTGCGTAATCTCCTATGTTATCAATGTCTTCTCTTTTTTTGTTGTTGTTGTATATTTGCTCCCTTGTTGATGATGGGCATTAAAGTTCCCTCCCACTACCAAGTTTCCACAGCTATTAGCAATGACACTCTCAGGTCATGCCTTGCAGTGTGCATGGGTTATTTCCTTTTATAGGATGTATTCCTAGAAGTAGAATCCTTGAGCTTAAAAAAAAATCACTTCTGCCTTTCGCATCATGAGTGCTTAGTGAATTTATAATTATTTGATCAATAATGAATGTGCAGTGGGCTTTTTGAGCAAAGAACTCTTACCTCCTACTTGGCAAAATTTTATCTCACCTCAGACTTGGGCTATTTTAAGAAAAAGAAAACCTGAAACTTTTTGAGTTTTTAACTCACACTTGTCCTTAAGAGATGAGAGTGGTTTTCAGAGACAGATCATTCTTTATGGGACATTGCTAAGGTTGCAAGTTATAAAATAATAAGGAAAGTGATTTTGTGCACATGAGTGTGCTTGTGTACACATTTTGGGGATTTTATATTCAAGCTAGAATGAATACCTGGGGGAGCTGCCATTTCATTATGGAGGTCCAAGGTCACCTATCTAACAGTTCTGAGTTTCTACCCCTGGGAAGGAAGTATATGTTCACTGTTCCCTTTAATAAAGGCACAGAAATGCACCATGCAGCCTACATGAAAGCATGAGTGAGTGCTACTCATTTTAAGAAGCACTCAAGCACTGTGAAAATTAACACTGGAACACGGTTCTGAATGAAAGTGACACCATGAGCCTAATGAGAAATTGAGTACCATCTATTTATCTCCTCTAGCCCAAGATCTTT